AATCGTTCCGTCCGTCCGTCCGTTCGTTCGTTCCGTCCGTTCGTTCGTTCCTTCGTCCCAAAATCTCTTAAAGAGATAGCGCTTAGCAGCTCGTCTCTTTCATAACAGATAGCAGAAGGCGTGGCCGACGACAACCTGACTCGTCTTCCCCAGATCGTCACAACTAAGTGTTTTTCAGAAGACGTGGGTTGAACGAGAGGAAATTGTAAAGAAAATTAGCGTTATGTTAAACTTCCTATTTTTTTAACACAATCTTTGGGCAATCTCTCCATTATGGCTAGAAAAAAGACAGAGAAGTTTTGACATAATTTTGAATGCGTTGGGCGGCAAGATTCCCGTCAGGTTTGCAAACGCCACAACTGTCGATTGGTTTTGGTCGTATCCTTTTTTTCCATGAAGGTATCACAACAACATTCTGTAACGTTTATTTTTATGCTTTAAAACGTTTTTTTGTTTGATTGTTCAGTTGTTAGACCCTCAAATATTTATTTTCTCCAAGATAAAAAGAAGTAGTTTGTCCACTTCAGTTTCCTCCCCCGACCGTCTAACCAAAGCACAACAAATATGGTGCCTCTCAGAGGTTGCTTTTGATATTTTACCGAAAAAGTAATCTCAGATTATTTTTCACGATGGCTGACAATGGTGCCCAAGATTCGAAATCGCAGCGGCATGAGTTGCTGCTGCAAGAAATTGAGGGCATAGATGAATATTGGGGCCCTACTTTCAGGTGAGAACCTGTGGACCAGGGGACAGCCGAGAGCCACCCTCTATGGAAGCCCCCTGAAGGGTGCAAAATCAATATCATGCCCCACCCTCCAGCCCTTCTCCTCTTACAACCCACTCCACCCTCCACAAGCCACCCCAAAATCTGTAGCCCCCTCTCTTTCCGTCCAGTCGGCTCTGTGCCCTGCATTAATTCAAGACCACTCTCCTGTGAAAGTAACCTTCACACTTTTGCACCTGTCTTTGACAGTTTCACACCTAGGTGTCAATACAACTCTCTTTGCTCCCTCTCTGACACCTCTCATATGACTACTCAGGATAAAATTTAGTTACTGGAAATTTGTGTCCTGTTTCAAATGGATCACGATAAAGAGAGAAACTGGGACATGGCTCACTCGGCCAGGAGACCAACTATTTTCAACCTTAGTTTGCAACCACAGTTTGAACACTTGTTGTCAGAGTTGGAAACTAATGAAGTTAGTGGTGTATCTGTTGTTGTAAGGTGAGGTGGAAGAGTGGGGGGTTATACAAATATAACTTCTGTTTATGTTTCTTTTGAAGCGTTCGTCTAAATGGGCTCAGTTTGCATTTTGCTTCCTTTGCTAACAGTTCTTTCAATGTTAATTTTTATATTACTGTTTTCCAGAGCTATCTACGATGGAGACGAACATCAGAAGTTTATGGAGTGCCTTGACGCCCGCATCAAAAGTCATGACAAAGACATCGAGCGAATGTGCAATTTTCATTATCAAGGTTTCATTGATTCTATCAGAGAACTGCTGCAGGTTCGAACTCAAGCCCAGAAGCTTAATGTAAGACACAATTCTATCTTTTTGCATATACGTCATATTTATAGTATATTATATCAATTTGATTAAATTATTCTTTTCTGGCACAATGTAGACTGAAGTTGTACGTCTGGATGAAGAATTACAACAGTCAGCAAACCGAGTCATTTCTAAGGGAGAAGAGCTTGTACAAGCAAGGCGTGTTGAGAGCAACATTGCCTCAGCAATTGATAGTTTAACTATATGTCTTCCTGTGTTATCTACCTATGCTAAATTACAGAGACAAATGCAAGAAAAAAGGTATAAAACAAAATTAATAAGTCAGTTTTTGTGAAATTGATTGTTTTGAATAATCTATGATAATCTTTCTTTATTTTATCTTGGTAAAATTACAGATACTACCCTGCCCTTAAAACACTGGAACAATTAGAACATCTATACCTCCCAAGAGTTGCCAACTATCAGTTTGCTCATCAAATGAGGGATAGTATTCCTAAGTATGTATTGTAATCTCAGAACTTGAACTTTTGTTATTTTAAATATTCGATTCTTGCTGTTCAATTATTGTGTATTGTTTTTAATTTCTAGGCTCCGTGAAAACATCAAGGATGCCTCAATGTCTGACTTAAAAGACTTTCTTGAAAATATCAGAAAATTCTCTCCCAAAATTGGTGAAGTTGCCATGAGACATGTATGTAAACTTTTTGTGAAGTTACTTAGCTCTAAACTTGAACCCTTTGTATTTTCTTACTGAACTGTCTATGTCATGCACTTTTCAAGACTGCAGAGCAAATGGGCGGAGATCCTGGCACAGTCGGTGGGATAAAGAAACGGAATGTTGTACCTCCCCCTAATCCTTTTACTGGTCTGTATATCTTTTTGCAGTTTTGTGTTGACTACAGTATTCTCTTTATCTAATCAATACAAATATTTTTTTAAAGGCAAAATTGAGACTGATGAAAATGAATATGATGAAGAGGATCTGAGTGCACAAGACCTCATTGATTTTTCACCTGTGTACAGATGTTTGCATATTTTTTCGGTTCTGGGATCAAGAGATACATTTGAGACATATTATCGTCAGCAAAGAAAACAACAAGCCCGTCTTGTCTTGCAGCCTCCTACTAACATGGTACATAGTTTTAAATAGTGCTCAGTATTAATACTTACATCAAGAGGGGTTGATATTAATCAGTGAATGAAAATATTCTTTTAGCATGAGTCCTTAGAAGGCTACCGAACCTACATTTATGGAATTGTGGGTTTCTTGGTGACTGAGGACCATCTCCTCAACACTGGAAATGGACTTGTGAGCAGGTCATACTTGGATGAACTGTGGGGCATGGCTTTGAGTAAAATTGTGAATGCATTGCGGACTCACTCTGTAAGTTTACCTCAAAATCAAAGACTGTTTTTCCAACCTTCAGCTTCTCTTATTATGATACTGATTTGGTGAAAAATTGTTGCAGGCTTACTGTACTGATGCAACATTAATGCTTAAGATTAAGAACCTGATAATGTTGTTTCTCACTACTCTACAGGTAAGTTTTATATTCATTTTCGTTTTTGCTGGATATCAGTGTTTACTTGATGCTTTCCTTTTTTGTTTTCACCAGAATTATGGTTATCCTGTGAACCAACTTTTGGAACTTCTAACTGAAATTCGAGATCATTATAATGAAGTTCTTATGCAAAGATGGGTACAGGTGTTTCGTGAGATACTTGATGAAGAATGTTTCTTACCAATTGAGGTCAGTTCTTAAGTTGTTGGAAATTTGTGCCCCTTTCTGTGCTAAAGATGCCCTGTTTGAAGTTTTGTGAATTTTAATCTAATGTTAACATTAATCGATTTTAGGTTGAAACTCAGGAAGAATATGATAATGTTTTGAGTTCATTTCCATTTCATGATGAATCATTAGAAACTGCACCCTGCCCTAAAATTTTTCCATTTTCTTCCATGGTACCAAAAGTGTATCAGCAAGTAAAAGAATTTATTTATGCCTGCCTGAAATTTTCTGAAGACCTGAATCTTAGGTATTTAACAGTATAAATATAATCCTAATACCTACTCCAGTTCTGCCATATTTTACTAGAATAATTCTTCAAAATATTTGCAGTCAAGGCGAGGTGGATGACATGATACGGAAATCAACCAATCTTCTTCTCACCAGAACTTTTTCTGGATGTCTCACATCCATTTTTCGTAAACCGAGTTTGGCACTTTTGCAAGTTGTACAGATTATAATTGACACTGGGTACCTTGAAAATGCCACTGTCTTCTTGGAGGAATTTGTATCTAACATTTCTGGGTAAGAATTATTTACTGACATGCTTGGTTCTGCCTCTCAAAAATATTTATAGTACTGGTACTATTTCTTTCCTTCAGGTCTAATCGCACTGATGGTCATTTGACTCTTCGATCCCAAGGCCAGTCAGCTATGTTTCGAGTGGCACGCGATGATGCTGAGCGTCAAATATGTGACAAGCTTCGAGGCAAAGTTGGGGAATTCCTTGAGCTGGAGAACTATGATTGGTTGCTAGTGGAACCTCAAGGCCATGCCTCTTCATTTGTAACAGATCTTATAGCTTTTCTTCAAAGTACTTTCCTTTCCTTTACAAACTTACCAGTGAGCTCATCTACTAAATTACTGTGATAAAATATTTGGAATTACAGCTAGGTGGTCTGAGTTCACATACAGGTTGTTTTTTGTTTTTTGTTTTAAATACAGGATGAAGTTGCTCAACAAGCCTGCTGTACTGCTTGTGAACACATAGCTAATTCCTTGATGGGTTTGATGCTGAGTGATGATGTTAAACAAATTTCTATGGGTGCATTACAGCAGATTAATCTGGACACCATTCAGTGTGAACGTAAGAATTCAATATCACTGCTTTACCTAAATTGTCCAAACTTTTGAATCTGGTACCAAATATTCCTTATTCCTATCTCCAGAGTTTGCGGCTTCTGAACCTGTGCCTGGTTTGGAAGAACAGGTTCTTCTGAGGTACTTTGCTGATCTGAGACAACTCCTAGATCTATTCATGACTTGGGACTGGCCGACATACTTTCATGACTATGGTCAGGAGAATAGCAAATATCAGCATGTGAATCCAAGCACTGCAACAATTCTAGTTGAGAAGTAAGCAACACCTTTCATTTCTTAGATAATTTATCTATGTTTCTGGCACTGTTTTATCTTCATTTTCATATTGCTTCTACAGGCTTCGGGAGGCAGATAAGCGAACAATGTTCTCTGTACTGAAAAAGAGTGAGAGAGATAAGAAGAAACTGTTGGAGACAGTCTTGAAACAGCTTCGTCAACTGGCGCAAACCCAACAGCAGCAGCAGCAGTCCCAAACTCAACTACCACAGTCCTCTCAACTCCTTCAGCCTCAGCAACAAATGCAGGCACCAATTCAGTGACGGCGGCTTAGCGCTGTGTAGACATTTTCTACACAGTGCTATGAATTCAAATTCAAAAACCACAATCAACTTGATGTGTCCTTTTTTTTAAATGGTATTATGGAGTTCCAGAAATCAGTTTGGCAATATGAAATTGACTTATACAGTGTTTGCTGATACTGCAAACCATCTACCTCCTACTTCTTGCCATTATGATTATGAGATGGATGGAGCATTATTTGTAAACACTTACCAAAGACTCTTCTTAGATAAGGTGAACCTCAGAAAAAAAAGCAAATAATTGGGAAACTGTGTGTTTATATCATAAAATATAAGAGTTTTGGATTTATTTAGTTAATGCTTTGGCAGCAGCAAAGAGATAATGTGTTAGGAAACTAAATTTGAATTCAGCATATCTGATCATGACAAATAATGTGTGTTATAATTCTAGGTTTCTTCCAAACAAAAATGAAATAAAATAGTTGCCTTGTTTTTATCTCTCAAAAACTAAACTCATTAAAATTTGTATAATAACTCTTAACCAGTTAAACTATAGTGCCTTATTAGGAGGGTTATTATATCAGTATTGTATGAGTTTTCATTCAGATGGATTTGATAGCAAAGTGTTTTCTATTGAATATTGTTAAGTGTGTAAAGTTTTCAAACAACTTTGTTGATTTTGTATAGTCTATTTTACGGCATTAAACATCCATGTCTTCCAAACCAAATACTGTCTTTTTAACTCTCTCTTGTCAAGGGGAAAAGAAACCAAATTGTATGTTTTAGAAATTGTTATTACGAGTACCCAAACTGGAACAGTATACAATTATTCTATGTACAGCTATCAGTATGCTATATTGCAAAATCGTTGTGCTATTTTTATAAATATTACATCTTAGCATACGATTGTTGCCTGAGATGTTACCACTTCAATGCATTCAGTGTCCTTCATGGCTGCATCAGTCAAGTCTGGAAGTTCGCTCTTTAAATCTGTCTCTGGTCCCTGCGGCATCCATCAGAAATATCAGATTGGATAAATGAACTATAGAGAATGCAAGTAAAGAAAAGCTAAAGTTTTAAAATCCAGAAAGTTCCTATAATCGTTCAAATTCTGCCCTGGCAGTCCATCATCGATTCTTCTTACCTTAATACTAGCCTTGCTGCATTGCTCAAGATTGTCGCCGCCAGGATCTCCTGGCACTTCCAAGGCTCCGTCCATGACGCCTCCAGCCAGCAGCCCCAGGCCATCGGCAAGACTGACGGGGTTGTGACCGTCGGAGGGAAGGCTGATGTGCACCACCTCGGCGTCGTCGACGTCCTGCTGCACCAGGGTGTTGATGGACGCCTGCTTGGCAAGCCGGGGATCTGCCTGTTGCGCCTGCTGGTACAGCAGGATAGGATGCTGGCTCGACTGCAGCAGGGGTGGCTGCGGAGGGGCCGCGTGGGGCGGCCGCCCCAAGCCCCGGTGCAGGTACACGTCGCTGGAGCCAAAGTCCACCCCCATCTGCGACCGGGAGGGTGGCTCGATCCGTGGTCTGCAGACACATGTAGTACCTCCTCGACTCTCAGCTCACCTGCATGTACGGCTGCCTCGGGCTGCGGTACGGGCCTGGATGGAAGTGGGCGCTCGCGGCGGAGGGTGCGACCGGGCTGTAGGACGGCGCCGAATCCAGCTGACGGAACTGCCTTGCAAACAGCGCCTGGTCCAGGGCGCGCTTTAGGTCGCAGTGGCACATGACTGTCAAAAGCGCTGTTATAGAACCAGGGACGGACTGGCAAAAGCCACTATGGTGGCTACACGGTGTATAGATGTATCCACATCATACCGAATATTCTGTGCAAAGTCTTGGGGCTGAAGTCTGGGAACATCTTGATGAGGCGGTACAGATCGGGGTGCATCGCCGGCTGCTGGTAAGGTTGTTGGTAGGTCTGAGGCTGTGAGGTCACCACCCTGTGCCCGCCGTTGGGAGGTGTGTCTTGCTGCACCTGTCGGATGAAGCGCGCCTCGTTGTCGCTGCCGTTGATGCGAAACCCTCTGACCGATTCGGACGTACCACGTGCACGACCTCGCCCGAGCTGGTGACGAAGCCCTGCACGACCACGGGCTGGTACTGTTGGAAGGGCGTGATGCCGTTGGCGCTAGCGCCACCCATGCCCGAGCTGCAGTCGTCCACAACGACGGTTTCTGTCGACACGACACCCTGAAAGACAAGGGGTGTTTGGTGTTTGAGGGTGCGAGTCAGTAGCGGGATATGAAATTACAGGTGTTCAAAATCGCCTTTTCAGGAGTATTTTTTGCGCGTTCTTTTCTTATTGAACTGACCTGGAAGTCTTGCAACCCCTGAACGAGCAGCACCTCTCCGTCATCCTGGACCTGTCCATCTTTGAGGTCACACTGCTGTTCCTGCGGGAGGCAACAACGGCAGGCTAACGTGCACCAGTCGGATCGCGGGGGTGGCCCGTCGACGGGATCCCCTCCGTGCGCCAAGCGAGCTCACCTCCACCTCGCCGTCGCATACCACGAAGGACACGGACGAGGACTCGCCTAGAGGGTCGCAGGGGAGCGCGACGACGGGCACCTGCTCAATGTTGAGGCCGTTTTGATCAATCGCGTTTTCGTCCTCCACCTCGACGCAGTTCGTGTCCATCAGGGCGGCCAGGGCGGCGTCCCCCGTTGTCTTCAGATCGCCACGATGCAGCTCACTAAACCACTACGACATAGCGACGAGAAAAGAGCAAATTTGCCAAGAGCGACTTGATTCAATCCAGGATGGGGATCATGTAAGGGTTGTAAACTCAAGCAACTCACCAAAACAAAGACAACGCGGTCAACAATGAGCAACAATATTGGGAGAGACGGTCATTCCACGACTGCAGCTGGAGGGCTGTTAATGGCGCCAATTTCATGTTCGCTGCCGATAGGTGACGCCACCAAACGGCGGTGAGGAAATGGAAATAAACGTTTCAATCATCGAGTGGGGCTATACGATCAAATACAGTAAATTGATGTTTTGTAGTTATGAATGAAATAAGGTGAGAGAAGCCAGGAGAAGCGTAGTTCGATTGAGAAATGGGTTTGCAGCCTCGCGCGCGGGGAAGGGGAATTCTCCCGTCACCGCCTTTTAGAAGAGCAGCCGAAACTGCCGAAATTTTACAAGGCAAAAAGTAAACAAACAACAAAACAACAGCAGCAACAGACGACGACACCTGGACAGATGGGATGGGGTCCCACCTCTAGTTTCATCGGCCTAGTTTTGGAACCTGTTCTGTTCACATTTCAGTGCTACTGATATTTACATACTGTCTAATAACCGAATTAATTGTATGTTTCATATTTATTGCATGACAACTTGTGGTGGAGGAGAATTCGCCTTTGTTGAGTGTTTACATACTCTGTCACTTATTTCTTTATGGTTTGATTCATAATTGTAGTGCCATGAGTTTGAATCCAAAAGAATGTGACGCGAATAAGTATTCAACTGACCAAACTGAAAATCAAGATGTTCCTTGGTACATTGATTTTCATGGTAGAAGATCACCGAGGCAAGTGGTTGGATTGACTCTTTCTCATGCTGAGACGCAACAAATAAGTTCAGATGGAGAGCACACTCCCAATTCTGTTCTGTATCAAGATGCAACACCACATTCTAACTCAGATTTTGGTCTTGGAAGTAGCAAACATTGCAATGAAGTTGGAATTGAACGCAATAGCTCTATCCCGTCCCACGACAGCTCATGGCCAAATGTAGCAGAGGGGCAAAAAATACGTGTCCTCAAGAACAGTACTTCAAATGAAACATTTGCTCAGAAGTTACAAGTTGGCATAACCTGGAAAAGTATTTTAAATCAAAGTGCTAAATTACCTAATGCTGAAAAGGGAATAACAACCTCTGAGCACCTTCCATCTTTAATAAGCATTAATGATAATCTCACAAATAGATCTAAGTCGTGTCAATTGAATCTGGGAAATAAGGTGAAAAGTAAAGAACCAACTACATCAAAGTTACCTCCTCATGATTCTGGAGTCCATCTGATTGATGGCAGCCTAAAAGAAAAGTGGACTCAATCAGACACTGCCCCAAATTCTCCAATTATTTCTAAAACTCCACCTCTACTAGAAAAAGATTTCCCTGACCTTTCTGTTGCTTTGCAATTTTTATCAAAATGCTCTATTAAACATGAAAATTTTGAGTCCACTGAAAGCCAAGAAATAAAAGATAAAAAGATAAAATCAAAGAGAAAATCAAGAAGCAATCAGCCATGCAGAAAAGATCCAATTTCTGTCAATATTGTGGACTTCTTAAAGGTAGATAATTGCTTCAAAAATATAATTGTGTATCCATTTAACAGTATAAAAGCCAATATTTTAATCCTTTTTTACATTGCAGGAAACATGTCAAACATCAAAACGTTCGACTCTAACAGATCACAATCACAGATTAAAGTTCAGAGACCTTGAGAAGAGAAAAATTTGTGGGAACATACTAGATTCATCTAACCCAATTCGTAAGAGAGGAAAATTCAGAGAAAAACCTCCTAAGAAAAGACTCTCCAAGCTAAAGCAAGTAATTATGAATGAACGGCACAAGAAGAAGGAACAGAAAAATATAAACATGTGCGCTAGCAAAAGTTTAAACTGTCTCAATGAGTGTAGTGAATTACTTGTTGGAACTATTTGTTGTGAATTGAATTCTCTTCATATTATGAGTGAAAACAATGATGAAGAGCTTATCTCTGCAGTGCCTCAAGAAGAAGAATTGAATCAAGAGAAGCAGGAGGAGGTTGACAAACTTGATGGACAAACATTCAAACGTCATGATGATATTGAAGTAATTCATTCGCCCTCTCCCTTACACAGCAGAAAATTCAGAAGGTAAGTACCCACCAAGTGAGAAATGGGATTCAACGTCAAATCGACGTCGAAACATTAAAAAGATGTGGATTTTGGGGGACAAATTGACGTTTTGACGTTGAATCGACATTGAAGAAAACTCATTTCTCACTGGGCCAAAACTCACTTTGTCATATTGAAAACCTAGAATGTGTTAGCTTAAAACAGTTAATATATTTTGGTGACTTTCGTTTGCAGTTATTGCAATAACATCAGATGTCAGGAACTGGATGAGGCTGTCACAAATTTGTTGAAAGAAATTTATAGGTTTCAAGATCGGCACCACAAGAAAGACCCTATCAAAGCACACGCCAAACGACGTTTCATTCTTGGAATACGAGAAGTTAAAAAGTTCCTTATGCTTAAAAAACTGAAAACGATAATAATTGCACCAGATCTTGAACCAGTAGAAGGCCCTGGTAAATGGAAATGAGTTTTCAGACATTGTTCTATTTACAGCACAGTTCAAATCAAATATGTAAGAGTCTATTGAATTTTTTTAATTTTTTTTAATTTTTTTAGGAGGATTGGATGAGACTATAATTGAGATAAGAGAAGAGGGAAGGACCCAACAAGTTCCTGTCATTTTTGCTGTTGGCCGTCGACAACTAGGCTATACACTCAGAAAAAAAGTACCCATCAGCATAATTGGAATCATCAATGCAGAGGGAGCAGAGGTTTGTTTCATACCATTCTTTAAAACATGAAATCTTCTCTAGAACACATATTTGTTATAAAATATTTTAACGTCTTTTCAGGAGTTATTTCATCTCATGTTGAAAGAATGGCATGATGCAGTATTAAAATATCAAGAAAAGCTTATGATATTTTCATAATTGTTGCTTTGCATTATCTATGTACATTATTTGTGCAAAGAAGACTACCTAATAAACGGCCAAAAGTCTTTTAATTATGTATCGCTGTCATATTTATTTTTGGAATAAAAATGTGTTAATTGTACCGTAAAGGATGAAATATCATATACTTTTTTTTTTTTACTATTACAATTCTATTTTCATCTTGAATCTCACTAGCTTGAATTATCAAACCTATCATCGCAAAAAATGGAAAGAAGGGCTTTTTTTTCGGGTGACGTTGGCTGTTTGTCAACAGAGCTTGGCAACACTGCAATGTAAATAAACAAACAAAAGTGGAGGCGCGGAGCGCGGGAGTGTCGGAAAGTTAGGAAACAAAGTCAAGTTGGAAGTTGGAGAGTTACATTCTGAACATTTTAAGATGGAGCAAAAAATTGTCAACCTAGTTAAGCTAGGAAAAAAGAACGAACTGAAAGGTTTGCAGGAATTTGTGGAGTCTTTTGATATCGATGAGGTTTGTTAAATTACTTTAGTCAAACCATTGCCTATATTCTAACCTCCCACCCCACCTGTTGGCTGAATAGTTCAGGAAATTATGCTTAATCCGCACCCTTTTCTCCTGAGAGGGCTGTTATTTTCTCATACCTCGAAGCGTATTCAGAATTTGTTGTGTTACTTTGTTTGAATTACTGGAATTTGTAACAGTACTGTTCAATGTTAAAGGGAATACACTGTACAATTTGCAGATTGGTCCTTTGGTGTCTCGTTCCATATTAAAAGATGAGTTTTCACAAGTGCTTGGATTTTTTCTTGATGGCCTCACTCAAACTGGCCAGTCACATCAACTACGATACAAGGTACGTCCCTAGATTATTCCTATCAATGTGGTGAAAATATCTCTCTTACAACAGATTTACTTACACCTCAGGTCACAGAAAGGCTGCTTCATGAATTTGAAAACCATGACATACCTTTAGCAAAAGCCAACATGATCACCAGTAGATTAAAATTAGAGGTTTCAAACTTTTCTGCAAACCACCTAGTGAAATTATGTGATTTATGCATGAGTATTGTATGTGAGCGGAGAGGTAAGGAACAAAATGGTCATGACAACCAATCTTCTCAGAGTCACATGTGGTGAGTACAACTGGGGGACAAAATTAATCATTTTAGTCTGAAAACTCTTACTTATACTTCCTTTGGTTTTGACGTATTGCCAGTTGGAAGGAACTTCTACCAGCTATGTTGTCACTTCTAATTGATAGAAAAAAGGTTACTCAAAGTGGAACTACCCTCTCAGGGGAGGAATACAAATCTCAAATTGTGAAAACTCTTTGTCAATCAGCTTGGAAACCACAGATAGTTACCTCCCTGGCCAGTATGCTCATGTAAGTCAAAATTTGTTATATTTTCCTCTTTATGCTAGAATAGTCTCCTTAAATAAGACCTCTGAAGTTGTTCCTTCAGATTTTGAGGCCTCTTATGTTTTTTTGTCACACTTTGCCTGCACCTCTTTCAGCAACATCCCATTAGCTCCAGAGGAACACCTACAAGTTGTTAATAAAATGTGTTGTTGTATGGAAGAACTCTCTCCTCAAGAATTGCCTTCTTTGGTTCATGAAATGTTAGAACTGTGCAAAGAGAGACATGGGCTACAACTTATCATGAAACTAAATCATTACTTTCATTCTCGTCTGTATAAGACTTATAAGAGCAATTCTGATATGATTTCCTCTCAGATGCTGGAATCTGATAATATAGGTAGGTGGTGTCTTGAAGGTTGTCTGTCAAAATTGATGAAGTGTAACACTCCATTGTTTTGCCTTTTTTAAACTTTCCTAAAACGTGTACAGAAGTTGAATCAGTGGAGGAAACCAAACAAGCTTTCGGAACAGTACTGTATCACATCCACAAAGTCTCTGGAAGCTACAGTTCCATCAAAGATTTTGTAAATACAATGGGTAAAGTAGCCAAAGGAGCTCCAGAAGCAGTATTACAACCGGTTATTGTCAGCATATTGTTTGGTATTGCTACAGTCTCTACATATGAGGACCAGGTAGTTGATGAATTTTTATGAAACATATCTGTTTAAAGATAAGAAGATCTCTTGGTTTTTAATATTCCTTCATTTTACTAATATTTTTATTAGGTTTTTACTATACTGAGAACAAGTATAGCCAGAGGCGTACTTGAAAATGAGAAAAAGAAAGAGTCTGCATGGATGAGAGATGTCCGAATCAATACAGTGAATATACAGGACCTGATTAGTATTTTAATTGATTGCTGGTATTAATCTTGTTTTTGAATTTTATTTTTCAAAAGACACTTGTTTGGTGTGTTAGTTTGGAAAAATGTATTTAATTTCTGTTTCTCTTCAAACCTGTTTTTTTCTCTCTTTTTTTTAGTAAGAATGGTCAGCTTGGAGCTGAAGAAGGTCTTGTCAACTTGGCATTTGAACTGTTACGGGGTAATTCAGTACGAGGGAAGGAATCTGCCTCTGCCTCTGACCAGGTGTGGCACTTTGGAACATTTATTCTGCTACGACTGATGCGTTATCAGCGCCATGTGGCTAGCTCCGTGTTACAGAGACTTTGTGACTGCATTATCACGGGGGAGGGTGTGCAACAATATATCAGTATGTAATTTTGATAATCAAAGCAGGACATTTTTCCTAATTTGCAGTCAATTTAATACATTGTAATTCCAGAGTGCCTTGGCCAGATGTGTCGTGAGATGCGTGTTCTCGTGATGGAGCACCAAAGTATAATTATCACATTACTGAGTTTTCTTCGAGTAATCCAGTGGAGTGTTGCTAGAGATATTGTTCTTGCAGTTTTACCCATAGTGCTACATGCATCTGGTGTAAGGGATAATCTTATACTGGTTCTCCGTAAAGCTTTATTTTCAAGGTAGGGGACAAAAACATCTGCTAAGAGACAGTGAATAAAAATTGAATTTTATCATTAACTTCAAAAAATTTCTCTAATCTTATATCTTAATACTCTTAATTTGCAGGGATATTAGCATTCGTAAGGTTGCAGTTCATGGTTTTATAGAAATGTTAAAAAATTTACGCTTAGAAGCCGGTTCTTTGGGACATTTAAGCCAGGGCTCATCCTCAAGCACTTTCAGTGGATTCAACATTCTCAGTCAAGTAAGAGTCCTCCTTTGTTTTCATTTGAAAGAACTGTGTTGTCTTTTAATTTCTTCCAGTTTTTCATTCCCTTATTATTTCTTGTGTAGGTCTCAGTTGAGGTACATAGTCAAGCGCCTGGGACCAATACAAACACTAAGGAAGCAATTTGTCTGGAGGTCTTGGGTGCACTCCGTGGATGCTTGAACCAACAGGCCGAAGTTCGCATGTGTCTTTATAAAGGTAACAAGAAAACTTAATAAACTTTCAATAGTTAATTCAAACTTGTGCTTATTTTTCTAGTTTAACTTGATTTGAATAAAATTACAGGGCTTATTGAAGTTGTTGAAAGCAATGCTCCTCTCACTGGTCCAATTTTGTTCTGGTTACGCGGACATCTGCTTAAGCAATGTGACCTGGATGTACTTCCTCCTCTTCACATGAACAGTATAATTCATGAGGCTGTACTGCAAGAGCCAGTTGGTGCATTACTCTACCTAATACAGCAGGTAGTTCAAGTAGCATGTGATCGGGAAGATGAAGTTGATGAAAGAACTTTAACTCAAGTGACAGATGTACTGGAAAAACTAGTTGCAGGAATGAGTCGATGTAGCCTTGAAAATTTCGACTTGGTATGTTTCAACATATTTTCATTGATTGGTTCATGTTGCTTAATCTGTATCCTCAACATACATGCCATTCACTTTTTCCACAGGATGAGGATGTTCGTTTGATGGATTCATCTGTAGAAAACAAACGAGCTGCTGAAGTTCTTAAACAAGCATTGGCTGTATATGAGGCTTTGATGTGCTTTTGCATAAATACTTGGAGTTTAAACACACCTGAGCAAGGTGCAAAATTGTTGGCACTATTTAAGTGTTATTCAAGACTTGTTGATTTTTCAAAGGTATTATGGAAATATTTTTGCGGTTCATGGTTCTTTTGTGTTCTATCTATCTTGTCAGTATCAGTTTGTGTTCATACTTTCTTCTTATTCAGAGCGCAACTACGGGGGGCAATAATAAGAAGGAAGCTACAATTGCTCCTACTGCTAAATCACAGCCAGAGAAGAAAGGTCGTTTTGGAAGAGCTCCAGTATTTAAACTTCCTCCAACCATCTTAGGACTACCATTTTTGTCTCGAACACTTGACTTACTTCACATGTATGTTTCCTTTTCCTTTTTATGACAATGTCATATTCATGCTAAAAACAATCAACTCAGTCTATAATTCTTTTCATGCACCTATATTCATACTTGGTAACCTTTTTGAAAGCTATTGTCAGGTGTATGGAAATAATTTTTTTAAATTTTTAACTTATAGGGAAGAAGTGCCTTGGTCAACTACTATTGCAGCTGCAAGTGTCAAAGGTAAAAGAGAATTTCATCGTTATGTTATGAATGTGGTTGTCCAGAATGTGGCTGAACTGAAAAAAGAACTTCTGTCTGGAAATGTGTCTGCACTTAAACCTTGTGCTAAAATAGCCAGGTTAGTTTTAATTTTACTTTTAAAACTTTCCAACTAGAGATATTGATGTTCTCAACAATCTTAATGTATCTAAATTCAATGCCCTCATTAATTATCGAAGTTCTTCTAAATTTCAGGAAAATATATGAGCACTGTGTTTGTCGCCTTTCAGAAATTGATTCATTTGATCGCACTCTGGCTACACTTGTAATAGAAAGTTTCTTAGAGTTGCTTCAAATGGTCCTGGCTCACTGTAGAGATAAATGGAAAGCATTCCTTCAAGAAATGAGTGAGATCCGATAATTTTCTACATAAATTGTAATTTATAGACTTTATAAGTTTAGTTTAACCAATAACATATTCTTTTATTGTTCATTTTCAAGCGCAAGTACCTATGGGGGATGGCGTGGCAAACCAACTTGAGCCTGTTGTGATGAAGCTAGTAGAACTTCTCGATGAGAATTTAACTGATGAAGATGACACTAATGAAGAGGCCATTGATAAAAAACTTACACAGCACTTAAGTTCTGCTTTGTCAGTGGCTGCTCTCCGGCTACCTGCAGAATCTTCACAATGTGTAGAGGTCAGAATCTCCTGTTGCTGTTTTCTCGACTTTAAAAAAAAATATCTCCTTGCTTAATAATAATTACCATGTTTGATTACAGATTCTGGAAAAAGTTCGCTCTCTGTGCTCTGAGAAGTCAGTCAAAAATGTTAATATTGTGAAAATACTTGTGCAATTATTAATGCATTTAACTGTTCGAAGCAAATCTGAGAGTCAGTTGTTACTTAACATGACAAAGCAGCTTCAAGAAGAAATTGGTGTTCTTCCAGATGTAGTAAATACATATTGTTTACATTTACGGATGATGCATACTAGGTGGCTGATTAACCCCGCGCACTTCTGCAGTTATGCTGTACCGTATTCCTACGTGCCGGTGGGTTACCTACTCGCTCGGCCCGTAAAGCGCGGTGGGCAGGGGCGATAGGCAAGCCCGCCCGCACTCGTGCGAGCGGTACAGTGTAACTACGGAAGTGCGCGGGGTTTATCAGCCACCTGGTGTATTCCGCCATGGGATTCTGCAATTTAAGTCCCATTTTAGAAATGCTGATCAAAGCTTAAAAAACTTTGTTTTTCTTTCAGCAAGTAGAAGAGCTTAATGCTGCTCTTAACTTGCGTATCCTAAACTCTGTGACCAAACATGGTGTTCTTGGTATTGTATGTTCAATCATTAAAGGACGCTTGGAAGAAGTTGAGTGGATGACTGTAAGACTAGATTCAGAGCTCACAATGCTGGACTTTCCATCAGATGATGATACATTTGAAAGAAGTATGTCAATATTTTGCCATCTGTTTTTTATTTTATTTATGTCTAAACATTACTACTTCTTCCTCAATCTTTGTTTAGATAAAGAACTACTCAGAACCAAAGAGAGAGAAACAGTATGTCACATGGCTCGATGCATTCAGTGCGGTGTTTCCCTGAGCATTTGTGCTCCTCAAGCAGGCACTCCTGCTGATGTCATTTTGAAACTTCATGGTGATGCCTTTGATACTCTTTCTCGGATGACAAAATATTTCACAAGACGATCATCTAAGGAAAACAAAGTATTTGAAGCAGCTCGGTAAGCTCTAAATATTGAAAAATTCATTTGTTAATGGCTCATTCAAACCTAAATTTGTACATCTTGTAATTACAGATTTGATAAAGTGATCAGAAATGCTGGAAAGTATTTGGCAAGAAATATGTTTGCGTTTGTAAGCTATATTGGGGTAAGTGTCAATGATTTCTAAAAAAGAAATTCCCTGTCATTTATGTTTGTCTTACTTTTCTAAAAACAAATAAAAATTGTTAAGGAGAGAAAAAATGAAGAAGGAACAAAAAAGAAAAAATGTTACCCTGCCCTACAAAAAACAAAGGTGCTTAGGGAGACTCGTTTGATTCCCAGTCTAGTTCGCAAGAAGGAAACATTTGATCAATGTGTAATTAAGCTCTCTAAAGATTGCAAAGTAAGTCCTACTATTTTCCTGATTTTTTTTTTTGTAACAATAACTTATAAAGAATCATCAATGGATGGAAAGTAAACTCTAACTTTATTTACAGGCACCTGAGCTTCTGGACATTGTTAAGCATAATTCAGCAAGAGACTTTAGCCTAAAACCACAGGCTATAAAGAGAGCCTTGAGAGAACATGCGGACGAAGCTTCTGATGATGATGATGAAGAAGAAGAAACAGATGGCAATGAAACTGTGCAACCTGTTAGTTTAAATTTCTGTCTTAATGTCGTTTCCCTTTTTCAACAAAACTGAATAGTATGTTAATTTGTTTAAA